AAAAAAAAAATTAAATAAATAGATCCCAAATACGCTAATTACAATCGGTGAGATTTATTGTTCAACACATTCTTCTCTATCGAGGAAAAATCGAGGAATGGGAATTCAATCTACAGATACATTCTCGGCAATGGATATTCGACATTGTGTGGAAATTGCACCGTTTAATTACGTAGATCAAAGCGAACGGCATCGTCCGCTTCCCTCGCCTCCATTCATCCGTTTCCAAATGCAGAGACATCCGGTCACGCAGAACTGACGAATCGCTTTTACACGAGTGGCAGTGAGACCAGCTACTGATCACTCTCAAACCTCCCAATTTCCACTTTGTTTCTTTCGAGATATTAGATGCCCTCGGCTACCAACCGATCGTTTCAACATTGATTCTTGCCCTCCGATTGCATTTCGTGAAATGGAAATAAAATTGGAAATATTTTTTCGGGTTTTGTATAAATAATCGAATGAATAATTAAACAAGACCATAAAAAAGGAATTTCACCTGTATAAATTCATCAATAATTAAAATTTTGATATCGATCAATTTTAAATTTCAATATATCAATTGAATTTCAATTTTTATCTATCTAATGTTTGAGAAATATGAAAAATATATTTTTTTCACACATATATATATTTTTTTTTTTCCCCTCGATATACGAATTTGTAAATAAAGACCTTTCGTATCTTTCAATTTTTGTTTAATTAGTATTTCTTCTGCAAATTTAAACTTTAGACCGATAACTATTAATAAAATTGTAAACAGTTGTGTAACTATTTGCCAAGATAATGATGAAAAAAATTCTCAATCTACGGTTATCGTACAGACAGTGCAATACGATAGATAGCAACGGAAATGAGAAAGAATTAATTATTATATTAATTAAAGAGATTGATAGAACGATATGAAAAAAAAAATATATATATATATATAATACCGTAATAAACAGAACATTCTATCACGAATGCATGAAAACCTGTCAAAAAAAAGAAAAATAAAAAGAAAAAAAAAATTCGGCATTATGCTGTATCCGAGCGATTCACACTTTTGTTGCGTTTTCCACGGTGAAAATTTATATATTTATTAATTCACCATACCCCAGAGAAATAAACCAATATCTATTGGTTACCTGTATTAACGAAACGAACACAATCTCGATAGTCTCATCAAGAATTTATCGATCGACAACGCACTTCCATTCTGTGTAAATGACCACGCAAACAGTCCATGCATTTTCATTGAATTCATTATGCGAGGATCCGCGAACTTCGACACTGTGAGGAAAGAGGAAATGCTAACTCAGTTAGTTTTAAGCAACGATAATACTCGTTTAGAATATCTTATACGTTGACTGAAAAAAATTTAAAATATCTTGTCTATTCAACCTTGTCGATTCGTTGAAAACTTTACACAGGTAAGCTTCAATTTTTATTTACTTTGGCGTACATACGTGAGTTTTTTTTTCTTTTTTTAATAATATAAGAATTTTTTCGTCTCTATTTTTATTTGTATTATATTCGTGGAATATAATTTTTCTATCGTTACAAAATTTCGATCGATTGAACAGACAATCGTGACACTATGATGACAAAACTTTTTCTAAAAATCTTGTGGGAATTGGATGAATGCGATTAAATCATAGAGAAATATTAAAATTCTTTTTCTGTAAAAATTATAATAAAAAAAAAAACGTGATCCATCAAATTTGAAACCGTTCCAAGACTTTTTCATTAAAATTTATTCCTTGAGGAAACGTTACCAATAATAAGTCGTGATCACCATGTGAAATAAAAAGAAATGACCGAGAAACCGCCTTTCTCGAGGCAAAAAAGGTTAGTGCCTTCCACTGACTTTGCTTGGAACGATCCACGTCACAAAACGTGTTCGCTTTTTCATACGCCAGACGTGTTTCGCGAAGTTTTCCGAGAGTTGTTTTCCACTTTTAACCAAAATTTAATTTTATTTCGAGAAAACAATAGACTCGACGAAGTGAAATTTCGTTCCAATTTCGACCTAATCGATACGCGATGTCCCATTTTTTTCGAACCTGTCTTCGAAACGCGTTTTTATCTTTAGAGGAATAATTTCAGACCCGACAGGTAAGCTCGAAGAATTGACTGATTTTAACGTAACATCACGCGAGTTATTCAAGATTTATATATCGTTACATTCAACGTAATTACAGGATATGAGTTATCATATATATCGAAACGTGGAATCTAATAGTAATCGTGACATGTATATTTTGTAATGTAACAACAAAGTCTTTTTTTCCTTCAAAATAAAATCTCAACAATATGTAATAATATAATATGTATAAGATTACATATTATTACTGAAAAGAAAAAAAGATTTATAATTTGATTTTACATCGCATTCACATTCCTTAATATTCTTTTCTTTCTAGTATTCGATATTTCTTGACATTTTGTCACTCTTGTTCTTCCATATGAGATATTAAATTTATTTTTTTCTTATTATTTAGATTTCAAGAATTTTTTGTTGTGAATAAAAGCTGAAGAACAAGATGTCGAAAACTTTTACAGCGGAAGAAGTAGCGAAACACAATCATGCTAAAGATCTATGGATCGTGTATGAAAAAGGTGTGTACGATATTACAAAGTTTCTAAGCGAACATCCAGGCGGGGAGGAAGTATTGCTGAATCTAGCTGGACAAGACGCGACACAATGTTTCAACGACATTGGACACTCGGGCGAGGCTATACAGCTTCGTGAAACCTACAAAATAGGAACGGTTGTTGGCTCTGTTTCTGCAACATCATTCAGTGGTACGTTGCCTATATTTTTTTTTTTCCATTTACAAATATTGTCAGTTCATTTAAAGAATATCGAAATAAAAAAAAAGAATTTTTGCATCATTTTTTATCTTTAAATTATATACAACGAATTAATATCAAATTACGAAATAATATTCACGAAAAAATGATCTTTCTTTGTTTAGAGTTAAAAGTGCAAGACACGACGATAGATGACGATAATTGGGAATATCAGCCACCGAAATACGAAACGTCACCATGGCTTAAAGTGATTATCGCAATTGCTGTCGTCATTTACGCTTATATATTTTACTATTTTTGGTATTCATAAGGAGGATAAAATCAGAAGGAGATTGAGATTGTTATAAATAAAAATACTTGTATTTTTCAAAAGAGTGGATTTTTCATTTTTTTGTTTAAATCTTCCTATTGTGACCAGATTTATGCGACTTATTAATTAATATTGAAATCATATTTTTATCCATCAAAATATTTTACACAAATTCTTATGAATATCATTTTTAAAATTAATTTTTATCAAAAGATCGAGAAAGAATATTCTGCGATTTAAATATCTTGTCTAAATATTTAAAATTAAATTTAGTTCAATGTCTACTTTATTCTTAAAGAATATTAAATATAAATATTTTGATAATCTTATTTATTTATTTTTTTTTTTAAATCCTATCGATCAAGATGTTTTTATATACGATAAATTTCGATCTATTTTTCGATCTATTTAAGAATACAGATGAAACGAAATACTATCCTTCAACATCTGGTCAAACTAGATTCAATCTGTTTCTCGATATTCTGGCACGTCAACCGCGCGTTTAAATTAAAATTCGTGTCACGAAAATTCAGCCGAGCAAGATGTGCTCTCTCCTCTATCCAGGCACGCGATCAATAAAACACTATTTTTTTTCTTCCCTTTTTTATATCTATATCGCATCTATACATATACTTCTCAGTATTGTAACAACGTGTTCATACGAACTCTATGAATAGAAATCGTATTTCAAATCACATGTAATATGATTTTTATGATTCCCTATAATTGCCATATTATTCAAAGTCAATAAACATCGTTAGAATTTGATTAAAACCGATTATCGTTCATTCTAGAAAACCTTTGATATAAAAATTTTGCCGATGTAGCATTGAATCCAGTATGGATCTTATCATGCAAATATTCTTAT